TAACACTTTTCTCTCTATTTCTCTCTCTTGCTATTTCTCTCTCTCTCTCTCTCTCTCTCACCCTTTCGTTCACTCCCTTTCTCTCTTCATTGTTCTCTCTCTATCTTGTCCTCTCTATCGCTCCATTTTTCTCTTTCCATCCAACCCTCCCTTTCTTCTCCACTCTCTCTCCCTTCCTCTCACCGTTCTTCTTTTCCTGTCCTGTTCTCTCATTCGTGTCCACTCTCACGTCCCATCTCTCTCTCGCTCTCTCTTTCTCTCTCTCTACCTCACTATGCACCTCTCTCTGTCTATCAACCCCCGTCGCTGACTGCAGACGGAAAATACTCGCGGCCGATTCCTTTGTTTCCGTTTCATTTGTACACTGGCTGCGAGCCGGAGTTCGTTCGCCGAGACGTTATTGCATTATGCAGACTGAATCGCGGATTCGTCGCTGCGAATGCAGGCTGCCATCCGGGGCCGACGGATTCAGAGCGCGGGACACTGAAACATTGATAACGCGTTTTTGTCGTTGTCTTGCCCGTGATAGGCAACAACAAAAAAAAGAACGCACGGTTCGGCGAACAGCCATTCTTCGTGCAGGAAATTCGTACAAACAAACCGATACCGATATGGTTCCATTAGTCCGTCTTCAGGCAGTTTAGGGGCGCTAGCGGCAACTATCGGAGTTGGTTTAGTTGTCATTTAACTGCCGCGAGTAGGAAACTTTCAGCCTGAAACTTCAAAATCGAACTGAATATTAGAAAAGTTTAATAATACAAATTCAACGCTGAACGGAACTACTCTCTAAATATTGTACAATTTTTTGCAAGGATTTGGAATATTATTGTTAGTATTATTAGTAGGTATTATTTACAGTGAGTCATAAATGTTATCGCACATGTTTTAAAACGTAATAACTTTTTTCATAATTGGACGAAGCGATCTAAACTGTTTTCGGATGTTAAAGCGATTAGTTTACTAGATTATTGCTAAAGAATTCTTTTCCCGAATTGCAATTGGTCGGGATAATAAAAACATTAAAAAATGATGTTTCTCAACTCTTTTATCTGAGCTTACGAAGAAAATTTTTAAAATGCGTTTTGTTGTCACATTATACCTGCGGGTATCGCATGTAATTATAATACATTTTCTAAATAGTGCAGTTATGATATACCTCACTAATAATATAAACAGGACAAATTTTTGGTTAATAATATAATTATGACGCATTCTTGAAAAAGTTACGCTGCATCGATTTGTATAATTCAAATTTTCGCGAAGTCACGCGTGCGTGACTCTGGCCGTCGAAGTATTGATAAATATTATACGTATAATTTTCTTGAAATTATTACATCTATTTTAGGTAAATACTTTTCAGACAATGCGTACGAAATGTCATTGGGGTGCCCAGATTTTCTGGAATGATATCTATTAATCTCTTAAACGCATTGATCACATTGAAATCCGGTTTGCACGTTTCGATGTGGAATTAGACGAAAGCAAGTTTGATCGGCAGTAATAATCGGCACCAACAATATTGATCGACGTCAATGTAGGACGCAATGTAATCTGACTTTGCATTAATGATGACTCGAATGTAACTGTTAACTCGATTGCTGGGTACTTTCTGTAATTGCTAGTCGCAGCTCGCTGTAATTACGTCAATTAGTATTGCAGGTGGGTAATGCCTGGCGATCGCTGGAAGGAACCCGCGGCTGATGCGATTGTTGCGTTTGAAGCATCCAGCACTGTCAATTATTTCCGCGATTTTTAGAACGGATCGACTGGATGTTAATTAAATCACTGATTTAATCTTATTCTTGCTCCGCGAACATTTGTCGAGATCCCGAGCTTCCGTTGAGAATTCTTTAACAGAGCATTTAACATTTTTAACATTTTGAGATGTTGCTAATTAGCGCGTGCAAAAATTCAGTTAAGGCGAGGTTCGTTTTCAGAATTTAATGAACAGAATTCTGGAGTAGTTGGAACATCCAGCGGCAAAGGTTCAGAAATAAACTTGACACTTAAATACTTCAACACATGTCTAATATAATGTCTGCGCAAGTATAATTTAATAAAATTCGTGTACTTGAACATTCTCGTGAAATTCATTCCTGCACTTACTTCAGGTATTTGAATACAGGGTGTCCAGAAAGTTTGAGACAAAATTTATATTATGCGTTACTCGGGTTAAATAGATGAAAAAAGTTCGTATAAATTTTTAATATGTTTAAAAATTTATTTAAGAGATATAAGATTATATAAAAAAATTATACAAATATGCGTTGGTTTATAAAAGGTTTATAAAATTGATCTCTTTCCTCGCGTTTCTTGCGCATGTATATGCACACGATTTTATATGCTATTGTTCTTCGTTATTTAAAGTTCTTGTGCAAGGTCTCGTGTTATATAACGATGATTGTTATCAATTAGTCCTTTGTGAACAATGTAGAGATATTAATACAATGAAGAAGCAACAAATTATCACGGGGAAAATTTTCATCAATAAAATGGGAAATTGTATAAAAATAGCATCAGCACTTGTTATATAGCCATATACGCACCTAAAAACGTATTAAAATAATGGACACTGCGAATATAAAATACATATAATATATATATATATATATAATACAAAATAATATAATATAAATAAAAAATAAATAAAAATAATAAAATAATATAATATATAATAATATATATGTATATAAATCGCCTTTGTGCAAACTTGAATGGCCAAATACTTTCTTCCCAGCATCGTTTTCTCTGCTCGCTGTATTTTTCAAGAAAATAAACTAAAATATTAATTAAAAAAAAAAATGTATTCAAGATGAATGGGAGCGATTAGACAAATTGTAGAAGCTATTTTGCAACGGTTAACTTGAAGAATTGCCGAGAAAAGCACGAATTTCAAAGCCAGAAAATCAATGTTGGATTTGCTATTAAAACGGCTTCGAATCCAAAGACTTTAATAAACCCTTTAATCGGTTTAAACGACTGTACCGACTTTCTATCGAACTTCTGTTTACCGTGATTTCCAGACCGGAAGGAAATGTTCACAGTCTAATAATTAGGAGGAACGGACAACTGGTAAATTGATTTGGGACGACGGGTACCAAATGAATTTCTGCGCCCCGAATAAAAGTGACAGAGGTTTATTGGAGCGTTCCGAGATGAAATTAGGGGCCATTCCTGGCAAAATAGAGACGTCCACGTGGAAAAAAAGGGCGGCCAGAACGGCGGCTCGAAGAGTAAATCGGCGAAAGGCACCGGCGAGAGAGCGTGTAAAATGAACGGGATACGACCGCCGCCGCTGCCGCCGGCTGCCGCTCCCAATAAAGCCTTGCTCCCTGTTCTCGTACGAATTTATTGCACGCTTAATTAGCGGACAAATAACACGATTAACGAGGACCACTAGGCGCGCGATAGTTTGTTGTGTCAGGCCGGCTGCGCCGCGCCGGCTGAAAACCCTTCGGACTCGTTACACGCGGCGCGGAACTGTTGCGCGCGACGCGAAAAACTGCCGGGCCGACGAGGAAAAAAAAGAACGTATGGAACGACTAATTAAATGGAGAGCGGAGTTTCATTGGGAAGTTCAACCGTATTACGATAGATATTCTTGCGACGCCCGATTATTTAATGCCGACGCCGCCGCCGACGCCGCCGCCATTTGTTTGCTCGCGACGGATAAAGGAATAGCGGGACCGTTGGCTGACACACAAATGCAGTCACACGCGACAATTGCATTCAATTCCCTCTCTGTTTGCGCCGGTAATTCGTTTGGAACAAATGCGAGCGCGTTGTGTTATTGACTATAATAATATTGTCTTTGTTGGAACCCATTAGTGGCCGGAGTGACACCGGTCAATGAATTCGAAGCTTCCTTTTTGTCCTTTCGCATACTTGTGCTAGGCGGTCCGTGGAGAACTTCCTGCGCCAAAGTTTCTAATTCGCGGGTTTTTTTTTGCTGCATGGACAATGATTGTATTTATGGACTAATGATTTTTATTTGGAATAATTCTGCGGATTCATCCGAGTGTGAGAGTATTATTTTGGTTTTACATTGTGAGATGATTCCTGATATTTACTCTGACAATTTCTGATGTTAGAAAAATGTTACTTATATATACTTATGCTAGGCGGATCCTGGAGAACTTCCTGCGCCAAAGTTTCTAATTCACGGTTTTTTTTTGCTGCATGGACAATCATTGTATTTATGGACTAATGATTTTTATTTAGAATAATTCTGCGGATTCATCCGAGTGCGAGAGCATGATTTTGCTTTTATATTGTAAAATGATTCCTGATATTTACTCTGACAATTTCTGATGTTAGAAAAATGTTTCTCTGCGAAGAGATAAGATTCTGCATTTAGATTATCATAGAAATCGTACGAAGATTAAATAAATCCAATTTTGTCGTTTTCAATCGGAATAACGTTTTTAAAATTCGTTCAAAGGATTCGGATTCTTTTTTAAATGTTAGATTGACCAGTTTTCTATGAATTTAGTATGTAAAAAGTTTTCTAGATTGCAATACATTGGAATGATAAGAAGATTTAAAAATTATGTTTTCTCAAGTTTTTTACGTGAGCATTACGTAACAGCATTACTTCATTGTTAATTTTTAGCAGCATTTCATTTAGCATTCAATTGCATTTAGCAATCGCACTATTAGTGCGATCGTTATGTTACTTCGAAACTACTTGTTTTCGCTTTGTCTAGAAGACTATCGTACCGTCGATGTCCCCTCAAAATGACATGCCAAGTTCCATGTTAATTTCATGTTAATATTATGATAATGTTGGTCACTTTGTTTCTTTGCCACTGTTTCAACTTGTAATTAAAGCAGAATAAACGAAGGCGAAGCATTACCATTCCAAAAATGAACTCATTAAGTCGCTGCATAAGTTCTGGACGCAGACATTAATATTTATACATTTCACGTCATTCTACGCAGTCCAATTTTTCCATTTTCCGACGCGTGTTAAATATTTTCATTTAGTACGGAGTTTCTGCTTCACCAAGCCGAGCACCGTACAGTGTCAAATTGTGAAAAACCGAATATTTCCGACACATTGTCTTATTTCAATGGAATCTGGGAGCGAGTCAAAGCATAGTGGAATTCACAAAGAATGGTTAAGAAGGACCATTTTGACCTACAACGCGGACGTCTTTGACGGTTTTCTCACTCTACTGCTTTAGCAACTTGATTAAACCGACACAAAAGAATACGGCCCGCGTTCGTTTTCTTTCAATTCGACATGGTTCTAAACCTGAAGCAATGAAAGCTTCTGCCGAAATTGAAAACTGTAGGACAGGTCCGGGAGAGGAACAGTGAAATCGGTAACTATAAATCGCTAACTATGAAAATATATAACATTTATAATGCGAGTATATATTATATTATATTAAATTATTATAATTTATTATTATTATCATATATATTATATTATATTATATTATTATAATATATTATATTATATTATATTATATTATATTATTATAATATATTATATTATATTATATTATTATAATATATTATTATTATTTTAATATATTAATATTAATTTATTAATATTAATATATTATCGTATCCCCTCTTCCAAAGTTATCCATTTTTGTTTATAAGCTCTGGGACAATTGAGGAGAATTTGCTGCACCTACAATAAAAGCTCGATGATCCTAACCTACAATATTTGAATCCCTTGAATGCGTTTCACAGTTAAACAATTCATTTCAAGGCGATCTACACACTGGATGTCCTATATAACTGTCGCCACGATTTTTCAATCAATTCCGACCTGACAATAAAATGTTCCGAACAAAAGTTAATAAATTTTTTTTAAGTAACAAAGTATGTTCAAAGTAACAACACCTTGAGTACTCCAGACGACATAATAAACCGATTTATGTATAAATATTCCGAGAAAGAATATTATATTTTTAGTAGTAAAATGTCGACAGTCTAAAGATTAATAAGAGACTTAAACTGGCGACCATAGGAAACTCTCCGTAGGGCAGTAGTGCCGATTACTGTGCGGCGACCGATTGCCGTGCCTTCGATTTATTCTCTGGCATAATTTTAACTTTATATTTATCGAAAAAAACGAGCTATATTACATTTCATAATTCTTTATATTCTTTCCTTTCGTTTAATTTTGAATGAAAAAATCGAACACGTCTAATTCGACAAATACAAAATGAACAATGCCCGAAAAGAAACGAAAGGCACAGCAATCGGTCATTGCGCAATAACCGGCCCCGCTAACCCAACTATCACGGTGGAAAATCTCCGTGCGCGACAAAAGTATCGGGAACAGCATCGAGCAACTCGGTATCAGCGGTCGGTCGAGCATAGGACGTTATTCGTGCGGGAACGGCAAGGGGAAATGCGAGTTCCATCGTCTCCGGCACGAAAGAAGAGAGCGAAGGTGTCCGGCGGGGTCCTTTGACGGCTTTCACGCGTACACCTCGCCGCGATAACCAGCGGTGCCGGCGTTAACTGTCCTTGTTTCAGCCGCCTTTGACGGAACTTTTATCGCGACTGTTCGCGTGTTCCGGCGGAAAACCGTGACCCGGCGATAACGCGCGCCGCCGTGCCAACTGTATGACAAATTCGCGCGATCTGGAAATCGTTTACGGCCGGCACGGACGACAACGGAATACAGAGTGCACTGGTACTTTTGCGCACCCCATCGCCCCGTCCCCCGCCGCACCCTCCCCTTTTTAACCGGCCCGGGTTATTGTTTCGAGCGGCACGTAGCGGAGGCTTTGGCACGCCTGCTACCAGAACAATTCCCAGGGAATACGAAAATTGGCGAACCGATCGGACGTATCTGGATCGGTTTCTTGAATTTTCTCCTAGCTCGCTGCCAGAGAGCTTCGCGTGGGCGGCATTGGGTCACGACGCTCTTGAGAAATATTAACGCCCCGGGCGGCAAACATTTTCCACTGTGCTCGGTGTCTTTGCGCTTCGCGATACGTGCACGTTGCGCTCGTATGCGAATTTTACCGTTTCTGTTTTCTCTTTTTTTTTCGCGTTCCCGTTCCTGCGGAATTTCATGGTTTCGCCGTGACCGCGTCTCGTAGTTTTTATTTTTCGAAAAATTGATTTGAACGCCAGGTGCGAATTAAATTGCTTTCGCGACCTGGAGCCAACGCGATTTCGAAGACCGGAGTCGCATTCGTACGACGAGCCTTTTAAAGATTGATGCAGGATTTTTTGCAATGTTTTATGGAGCCTCGAATTAGAAGTCTGTCGGCATTAGGATAATGTAAGATTAAGGCATTGCACGGTTCATTGGAAGCTCGATGAAAGGTTCTGGCAAAATTGTACAGGAAATTTGAAGATGCAGTTGGGAAGAGGAGATTCGGAACTTCAAATCTATGTTTTTTAAAAAAATTTGTCAATGTTTCTAGAGACGTAAAATGGTGTATTTGTCCCAAAAGTGCGGTCACGACTATTTTAAAAGTAACTTGATTTTAAACTCCCATAACTTCGTTAATATTCATCCAAATTTAATGAAAAATATACCGTTTTAAAGTTTGAGATTTCTACTTTCCGACGATGTGAGCTACTTTTACTAAAATCGGTGTTTCGAGGGCAGAATCTGTCTCTTAAAGAGGAGTGCATCACGTCATAAAGTTTGTTGATATTTTCAATCGTCTAACATAACCGGGCTGACTTAAAATCATATTAAAAACTGTCTCAAATGGTTAGAAAATAGTTTTAAATATATCCGAAACATTCGCTATGGATACTGCAAAGCAGTATGTTAAATTACACTCGCGATACCCTATGTCTCCAACTATGCACAAGATACTCATTCACGGACCATTAATTATTGAAAATTGATTATTGGAAGACTATCAGAAGAAGCAGTCGAGACAATAAGCAAACACCTTCGTCGTTACAAAGAAGGTCTCACGGGAAAATTTTCTGAGGAAATCACGTGATATCGATGTGTTGAATAGACTTTTGATTACTTCGGATCCTCCGATCTCTCGTACGAGACCGATTGCAAATAAAAAGTTATTGCAAATAAAAACTTATATCTATGGGAAACATTATACTTGCTTTTATACTTGCATATCAATTATAAAAGAACAGGAATCAGAAGAAGATGATGATGGCGAAGAGGAGGAGCAAGAGAGGAGAATGAAGAGGAAGAAGGAGAAGAAGGAATTACATTAATTGAAGAGCAGACATTATAAAGCGAAGAACTTTCAAACGCATAATTCAATGAAAACGAAAAGAAACAAATAGAAATATAGGGTTTCCTGTTAAAATATACATTGATTTACGTAGAATTTTTAATAGTAGTAATTTTACAAATCGACTTTAAACGGCACTGTGAGACGTTCGAATTTGTCATTGTTTATGAAGACACTTGGAGTTGTCAAATTTGAACGGAAAGGCATCTCCTTATTAACATATATTACGCGAAATAAAATTATTTAAAAGATAGTAATCCAAGATTCTGAAAGAGAAGATTCCACGCTTTACAATGTGTGTAGGTAGAATGTATCACGATACTATTTTTTTGTAGTTACGACTGTTTGAACGTCATCGATTTGTCGAATATCGAGTGGTCCTCCAAATATGTACGTCGGCGTATGATCGCAATTACCGAATCATTATTGTGTCACCTTCAATTTCGAAACTACGTAACGACTCCTCTTCGTTTCGAAATCTTTAATGAACAATTATTGTCAGTGCAATTGTGCATCACTTAAAATCGAGCGAATACACTGTGATATTACGTTCTCGAAATTACGATCAATTACTATCGACTTAACATCACATCGATTAAAATACATGTATTGCAACGTTACATACTATATCCAATTAACGAGCAGTTATTATCGTCGTAATTTTCCGTCAATTAAGGACGCGTAGCTGCAACGTAATTTTTGTAAATTAATATCAATTACCGTCGACTAAATATTAAATCAGCTTAAAAATACGTACACCTCTGTTATAATTTCAGCGTTTCCCCAAAATTATGATCGACTATTATCGACGTAATTTCACGTTATATCTATCGCCGCCATGTTAGTTCGCTGTAAACGATCCGCGCTCGTCGGTACATCACAATTCCATTTAAAATGAACATTCGAACCGAAATAAATGCATACTACGGAGAATTTACCGTGCATTGCACGTATCTCCGGGTGCAGGAATTTCTGACTTGTTCTATGCACATTTTGGAAATTTGCTAGTTTCGACCAACAAGCGAATGCAGCCGTGTTTCGGCGATATTTTCTATCGTCGTCGCATGCGTTTGCGTGCTCGAATTTTGCCGCGAACAAACTGTGCAGTGTTTCCGCAATTGTACGAGGCATTTTCGCAGTGCACAGTGCATAGGGCTGTGCATACGTGGGTCACGCGCAAGAATCGTTAGCGTTAACAAGCGTTAACGCATTAAAAGTTTAAGAGTCCGCTACTCTTTGTTTTAGAATTTTCTCTGTGGCCGGCCAGCAATTGAAGCCGCGCGAAAGATGCAAAATGTTACGTTCTTCAAACACAATGGAAGCATTCTTTTGTAATGCATTTGAAGCTTTAACCCCGATCCAGGCAACCAAAGTCTTTACAATTTTTTGGCAGCCTAGGTACCCAGGCAAACAATCTGTTTTATTTCGAGATTTTAATTATATGACCATTCTTTCGATTTTACAATCTCGACAGTATCAAAAATGCTGCTTCAAAGAAAACTCGAATGCACATGAAATTGTTTACGCGTCGCGACTGTCCGTGAATTTTGCAACACGCATCCACGATTTCGATGCTAAGGGCACGCGAATTTTCGCGCAAAATGCTGCAACTCGAAATCCCGAATTTATGACGTGTTGTTTCAGTTAATATTCTGTACACTGATGCCGTTAGGGCGAAAGCAAATTTCTCATTCTTCCTCTCATAAATCGTTGCACGGACCTCTGCACTAGCGCAAATTCGAATAAACATGTACATTGTTATGACACCCGATGATCATAGGTATTGTATATTATTATGGCTGGGGCGTGGTTGTTTACTCTAATAACTCGCGCGCAGCACACGTGGATTCTATCAATTTCCCAACGTCAATATCGCGGCGTTTCTTTTCGCAAAATGGTGTACAAAATTCGGTACATGGGGTTTTTTAGTAAAATAAATAGAAAAGGATAACTTATCAGTAAAATTATAGTTAAGAATATTGTACTTGTTGCGACATTAGACGGTTACCCGAGATTTCGGATTAAAATCGAGCCGGGTATTCTCTTCGAATGCAAAACTATATTTTTATTTTCAGCTTTTTATTCTACGCGGGAAGAAATAAAGTTTTTTAAACGAGCTCTCGTGATTTCCAAATTTAAAGTGACCATTAGATAAAGCGATCATTTGTTAACATATTATCCAAATAAAAATTGAATGGTAAAATTATTTTCTAACGTTAATTGATTATACCAATCTCTTCAATCTCAATCAATCAGACGAATTAATAAAAATCCGTAAATATGTTCCAATTTCGAAGTTTTAATTTCTAAGTCTAAAATTCAGTTCAATAGATGCACTGGCAGACTTGCAGCGCACAATGTAATCGTAATAAATGTTAATTTTAAGAAACTGGGCTAATGAAAGCCTACTATTTCAAGGGGGCAACTATTTACGGGTACCCGGCAACCAGGTCCGGGGGATGAAATTTCCATTTCC